CCTGCCTCTTCCCTCCCAGCAGCCCGGAATTGATAGGCACAGCCTCGTTAAACCCACCAGTACTTCCTAGAGTCGAGCCCATTTACACGCCACAATTTTAGGAAACGTACCGGGTACTACAGGAGCGCCCAAACTCATCCGACTAGAAAAGTTTCTACTCTGTTAAAACCACCAGTGGTTTCTAAAGCCGTGGCCGTTAACACACCATGATTTAGGAAACATTTTGTCCTCTACGGGAGCGACCAAATTCATCCGACTGGAAATGTTTCTACTCTTCCTTTTCCGCAGCCGATAGCTGGTTACCGGGTACTACAGGAGCGCCCAAACTCATCCGACTAGAAACGTTTCTACTCAGTGCTTCCTAAAGCCGTGGCTGTTGACGCACCATGATTTAGGAAACGTATTGTCCACTTCGCGAACGACCAAATTCATCCGACTGGAAATGTTTCTACTCTTCCTTTTCCGCAGCCGATAGCTGGGCTAAGTACTGGTGGTTAAAACTCAGGAAATAATGTCCGGACGTCGAAGAAATTCACAGTACACCAGTATACACCAGCAGTCCTACCTTCTTCGCCCCCGACTACAACTTACGGTCGGGGTCATGATAGCACTGCTCGGGGTAATTTTCAGTCTAAAAGCAATAACGATAACACATTGTAGCCGGGTGAGAAAGCTAGCCTAGCCAAATCGGAAGCCGTCCTTTTTTTTGCCCACCAGGTCGAATCCGCTGGCAGCGAGCTGCCCACGACCCCAGGCCCCACAACGGTATGGACATCCAGAATCGGACGAAAACGAAATATACGGTTCCTCCTTTTTAGGCGCTCTTCTTAAAAATTCATTCGACTACATCTCTCGCCCGTATCACCTACTGACCTCGCCGGATGAGCATTCTAAATCCCAGACAAGCCCGAATATCCTACTGGGCAGACAGCAGTCTGAAAGTGGAGAATCCAGACATTGCTTCCACTAGAGCTTGGCTGCAAAAGAACAGAAGAGGCCCTCTCCCTCGCATCCACAGCAGTGGAGCTGCTGCATTATTGTCCGTGATCTCCGACCGTTCAACGATTTTCACTTCCAATCACGGACGAAGATTCGCAAGACAAAACATCAGGATAAATTTGGAATGAGCGTCCAACCGTTCGATCGAGGGCGACGAAGACTTGTCATCTACGGGTCTCCCGGCACATAACATAAGCAAAAAGACTTTCGGATTCGTTTTCATGCTTGGGCCACAGGAGTAAAATAACCATACCTTCTGAGCAGCAAGTGATACTGGGTGTCCGACTTCACATAATCGACCGCTGTCCATCCAGCTCAAAACACAAATCACGAAAACAAACTACAAAAGGGAGAGACAGGTCACCGGTACCATCCATTCTATATAGCTCTCGCACAGACAAAACATATGCAGAATACCTACAGAAGGGTCGACCAGAAGCCAAAGGTCCTCTCCTCTGGTCCACACGAAAATCGACCAATCCGTAACAACGGCGTCGGCACACACGTGCATAGATTCGATCGCGGCGCCTCCGAATCAACAACCACCTCGTCAGACGAAGAATACCAAGATGTCTTACTTCTCACTTACCCCTGGGCACAGCAGTCCATTCATTCGCCAGGTCCCCCCAAATAGGTGGTCCCACAAATGATGGCCTTCCGAACCTTACAATGTCAGCCACAGTTTCAAATAATCGAAAACAAAAAGCAAATAATTAAAACATAATGCAAATAATTGAGACACAAAGCTACAGAAAGGTCGGTCAATATGTGCCTACGTAGTAACCGGCCTCTACAACACCTTGGGCATTAAAAAAAATAAAAAAAAGCAGCAGCTACAGGAGCGGTACATAGAGCCGCACAAGTCACTAAGGGCCCGGCACAAGTCACTCAAGAGCCCGGCCCTACTTGCACTCACCACGTGCAGAGCCATCACAACCCCTCAAGCTGCTGTCTCCTTTAATCATGGCAATGTCCCTCCGACTTGCACTGTTTGCAATATGTCCCTTCGACAACAATTGAAGTTTCCGACAAACCCCTGATATATGTTCAATATGCCCCTACCGCTACCTGTTCCAAATTTCCAGTATGCCCCGCTAACTCCCCTCCCAGGGCCAGTGGAACGGCCGTGAGTGCCACCACCGCGAAAGCCGCACCCCTCACTGGCAAGGTCCTGAAAGAACCTTGAGAGGTTCCGAGGGGCATGACAGGATAAGTCGGCCGTCGAAGGGGCATAGCGCAAATATATGGAAGTCGGGAGTGGCATTTCGAAAATTTTCCCCTCGTCATTTTATCCAATTATGAGATCCGTGATCACATGTTAACGCCCCCTTCTTGTTGCCCTATCCCACGTTTCCCTATCCCAGCCGCAATAAGAATGAAACCTCCAAGGTTCAGATGTCAAATACATCATCCGCACACGACCTACGTCCAGATGCTTTCTGACATGCCAGTTGAAATCTTCGTGGTCGTCCGTCAATTTTAACGGGGTGGACTTCGTCCAGATGTCAAATACATAATCCGCACACAAACTCATGAGGTCCAGGTGCTTTCCGAAGAGGGCAGGTCGACATCTTCATGGATGTCCGTCCGGCCGGTCGAACGGTGTGGGTCTCTTACAGGACCTTTCAATGGTCCAGCGGTATGAGAGTCCCTAGGAGATTCCAGAGTCGTCAGACAGAGAACAAACTACCTACGCGCTCTGTCAATCTCTCGTGGCAAATTTGCTTGTGTGAACTGAGTGCGCCAAATAACAAAGGTCACACAATTTGGGACTTCAAGAGCCACAAAGATTCGCCGAGAGGGTCTTTCTAGGCGACCAAGACGAACACGAAAGGGAAGTCGAAAAAGAATATAATAATAATAATGAAAATGAAGAAAGAAAGTAAAGGGAACTCTGCCTCCCAGTGTACCTCCTCGGGTAGTCCTCACCACAAGTTTATTCAAACACTGTGGACCATCCAACAGCATCTGCCCACCGAGCGACGCATGAGACATGACATGGCACCCCAATGAACGAATCCCGAACAAAAATCTGCTCCAGAGTACAACTACAGGGCTGATGATTATAGGCATCCTACACTGGCGAGGTTCTTCAACTGCAGCAATAGTCAGACATAGGGGGCAAATAATACAAGGACGACACGCTCGCCCAGTCACTCTTGTTTCGGCAGCGTTCAGGTTCGCATTGATCCCCGCTGAGAGCAAACCAACAGCAAGCCGAAACGTACATAACGCCGTGTTTCTGACCTTCGACAAGCGCAACAACACATCCTCTCCCCTCCGGTACACACCGGGACTCGGGAGTCCCCTATACACCAACAGAACCCGGGTCACAGTCCACGCCAGGCAGCCAACGCAGGTAGGAAAAAGATATTAAAATTAAACCAGACGTCTGGTTCACATGCACACACAACTCTGTCTGATGCGAGAGTCAATGCGAAGTCGCAAACCACATTCGCGCAGAGGTACTGACAATCTAAAACCTCTGCATGGAAAGGCGACGGAGTCTCAGACTGCGGGAACTCCTCGGCACCAACAGGTCATCGCTACAAATGGGTCAGGAGCAGCAATGTCTCCATCTGCTCATCTTCTCCAGCTGCGGGTTGTGCATCATTGAGAAGTAAAAGAGCCACCTGACTAAAACACCGTTTCCTGACTAAAAGAGTCCTTCGGGACATGTGTTAGGACTGGGAACGATACGCAGAAGACGAGGAGATCGAGACACGGGTCCTGACCAATGAGACGACTGCATGCCATTTGGATCGCTTCACGTTCTTACGTGCATGACGTAAAAGCACGGAAAAAGTCCCAACCTCACACTCGGAGGCGATGATATAGATTACAACGAGCAAATTTTAAGGAGCCACGAATCGAGAGGGAAAGCAAAGATCACCAGACCCGTGCAGTCGATGGAATCACTGGTGGAGAACCTCACGGGGGCGCGGCTGTGACTTCAAAAAGCTCAGTCCCCAAAACCTCAACAGTCCAGCTCACATATGACGCAGATACAAGTGGAGCCTGGTGCAGCAGCTGGGCACGACTGTGCATCCATCGTTTCATCGAGCTGCATAACAACTCTTCCAAACTCGCAAGAACTCCGCTCATGAAATAATGCACAACCCTAGATTCCCAAACCCCCAATAGAAACACAACCATACCCGTCGCGAGAAGCATAATCATGCAAATGATTCTCGCATAATCATGCAAATGATATGCATTTGCTAGTCTTCACTTCCAGTCCCGCCAAGTCGAAAACAGTATGTGCACGTCAGGACTCGAACTACCTTCTTCCCCCGAATACAACGAGCGGTCATTGTAGCTCTATCTAGATGCCTCAAATACAGCTATAATGACCGTACGTTGTATTCCGGGGAAGAAGGCAGAGCCCCAGTTGACACCCCCAACGTTCTGCCACAAAATAAGAACCGAAACCCGCGAAGTACTGCCACGACATCCGAATCACATGCCACAAAATACAAATCACACGCCCATCATGGAAGACACTTTTGCGTCATTCTGCCCTTTCTGAGAAAGCCATATCGACCGATTCCGAACATAGGTCGAACATGCTCCCAATTTCCGTCACGTAATCACAAGTCTGGACGTCACAGCACAGCACACATTTGGGTTTTCGATTCCGCCTCTGATCTCCTTCGCAGTAGTAAGTTTTAAGCATTCATCGTCCGAGAAACGCGGATATATCCGGAGGGCTACCATGTACACATCTAGATGTGTATAAGAGACAGCGTCACAGCACAGCACACCACACATTTGGGTTTTCGATTCCGCCTCTGATCTCCTTCGCAGCAGTTGGTCATAAGCATTCATCGTTAGATAAACCCGGATATATCCCGAGGGCTACCACGGTAGTCATGCACTTGCTTGCTTATCGCACTTCTACGTTCTTTAAACATGCATGTAAGACAAATTCCACGTTCCTTACCAATCACGTCCCCGGTGCTTTCTGGCAAGCAAACCTTTACGTCAAATCCCTTGTGACGACGAGACGAGGCCATTTATCAACTTCTCAAAAAAGACAACAGAATCACGCAACATATATGACCCTCGTTTCCATTCAACGACTCCCAGACAGCAAGGCTTTCTGGAGCCGCACGCAGACGGAGCAAGGCTTTCGGGACCAGAGGAACGAGGTACATGACATAAGCACAGAGACGAAAACAAAGGTTTGCAGTGATTGGAAATTCCTCCGAAAATTAGACAATTAAAGATTAGATAGAGCGGAGAATGGTTTCCAGATGAGATAGGCAGTGGCTTAACGCCTGTGCCTCAAGAGGGCAAGAACATGAACAAAAAGGAAATTACCTGATTTCCACACGTTCCCAAACATCCAACTTAAACTACATTGGCCTCTAAGACTATCTCGCACCGCCTTGTTGGATGAAATAAATGCCACGAGCTTTCAATGGATCGAGGGAAGAGAAGCAGAAAAGGTAAAACCGAACCTCATCGCCACTTCCTCATCAAACATCTCGTACTCTCGACGGCTAAATATCCCAATACGAAACGAAGTCGAGGCATTCCCTCCTACAAAGGAAAAACGCACCATCCACGGCCTTTCATCGGCAAAAATCTTATTGCAAAATATGAAACGGCGATTTGATTACTTTGCACGTTGAGTCCAATGAATGGGCATTACCCCCTCCTCTCCTGCCCCCCCGTTCTCGCCGTCACCCCTCCATTCGCCCCCTCCACCCCCCCCTCCTTCCTCCGTCCATTCATAATCTGCATCGACATCATCTCGCCCGGCCCGCCTCCCTTCCCCACCGAACTCCCCTCCTCACCCTTTCACAAACAAAAAAAACAAAACATCTCCATTATCCCTAAATGAACCTACCTCCACACAGGCAATACCATCAAGGGACCCGAGCAAAAGAAAAACAGCAGCGGCAGCAGTAGCACTCACTCTTTCGCATTAACCACACATCCTCCTCCTCGTCCTTCGTCTCTTCCATTTCCCCTGAATTATCATCCTCTCCGAGGTATCGAGGATATCAACCCCATCATCCTACAAGGCAATCCTACAACCAAGGACCGGCGGGGACAACTCACCACAGAGCTAACCAGCGCAAGGCACGACGCGTAATCATGCTCTTTCCCCCGACGGCAGCTCAAGGAAGACGCACATTTCCCGCCAGCCACGAATAAACAAAAATTTCGTCCTAACTGGGAGCCGTAGCTGCACTTCTCTCCCTGCTCTCCCACTCCCCATCCGGGCGTCCGACCACCCCCCTCCCGTTTCCACCACCACTCGTCTCCTATTGCAGCCCCCACTGTGATAGACTGACCGACAAACTACTTTTACCCCTCTTCCAATTGCAGAGCCACCATCAGTCCTCTGGTGATCGTCCCGACCCCTACTTCCACAACCGAAACCAATTCCCTCGACAATGCCGCACCTCCACAACGCCGCTTCTTAACCCTGGAAAAAGAGAACAACAACATCAAACAACCACGCAAGCTCAAGTGAGAACGGCTGGGAACTGCAACTAGCTTCAGGCACACACATCGCCCTCTGCATCGAACGTTTACGACATGGCATGCGTGATTTGTTCCTTCTATAGTTGCGTACTAGGGAAAGGATTGACGCAGCCCGTGTGTACAGGGGAGCGGGGGGGGGGAAGAGTTTCGCTTGCTCGCGCGCTAATTAGAACCGGGTCAACGCTACCCCAAAACCGAGGTTGCAGGGCGGTGGGGGGGGGAATATCCCCACCAACATATAGTTACGGAGCTGGTGATCTAACAAGGGGCGCAGCACTATCACATCAACATCTAGACAGACGACTTCAGAAAAACCTACATACGGTACAAATACCCCACAACAAAAACGGGCCGCCGACAACCCCACAATAAAAACGATGCCCCCGTACATAAGCACCAGCAAACAAACACCATTCCCCGAGAAGAAACGAACCTTATTTGCAATGTTGCTGGACAGCCAGTCAAGTCCCTCGTACAACCCTTCTCCAGAGGTGGCACAAGTGCTCTGAATGTACCTGCAATTACAGTTAAAGACCAAGGAAACAAACAAGCAATCAACAAACTGCAAAATCGACCGACAAGCCCTTATTCGGGAAAACCTTCCCAGAGGACCAAAAGGAAGACCATGCACCGTAGATCTACCGTTGCAGTGGGACTCATCACCCAGTAAGTATAATCCCTGTTCTATTTCCTGGGGCAACTTCGTGCAATAAAATAGGATTGTTTGGATTAATTTGGGTCTATCATGGTCTCATATACTATCGATAATATGCTATTGATATTACCTGTGGCTAATGTTTAAAGAATGGAAGCCGGGCGCTTCATTAACTGTGAGGTCTTCAACTTGCGTTATTTTCGATGAACGAGAGTGCCTTGAACGTCCAAATCCATCTCTATCATATTGCCCCACAGAACCTCCATTTCCGCTTCTTCTGGACTGAAAATTGCCCAAAATTCAGCTACAATGACGGTACGTTTGATTCGGGGGCAGACAATAGCATCGTCGTAGGACATTCCCACAATCTATCATTCCCACAATCTATCTTTGATCCACACCGACCACGAGCATTGCCTGGCAAGGAACGCGAACATACTGCCTGTCGAAGGAAGCACCGCATACGAGAGAGACGACCGTTCGAGCATCAAAGCGTTGGCCAGGCAACGACTATTGCGCGCACCCAAAGTATATCAACAACCACGCAGTCACCACATTCCTCGCGCAATGGCACGGGGAAGACAAGCATAGATCGTAGAATAGACAGCCAACACAAGATAAAGATAAAAATACTTGGGGGCATCTTCAGGAACAGGTGGCATGACGACCCGTACCAGTGGCGCTGTCGAAGGGAATGAAGTCCGAGCTTGTCTGTTATTTCGGCAGCATTCATAGCATTTGGCAGATCCTGTTTGTTTGCGAACACCAAGAGTACGGCATCGCGCAGCTCGTCCTGCACACAAAAATCGCATCAGCACAAGACAGACACTAGGTAAGATGTCTTTCCACCACGGGTAGGGTTAGGCTGCAACTGCAGCTGACTACGCGAAAAGGAGGTGAAAGACTAGTACTCCTAAAATAGCCGGGAAGAACACGACGGAAGTCTTCACCCCATTCAACAAGCAAAACCTTTTTCTAAATTGACTAATTTCAAATAGATACATATTCAAGAGGGAACCATACCTCGTTCAACATATTTCAAACAAATACATATTCAAGAGGGAACCATACCTCGTTCAACATGCGTTGAAGCTCGTCACGGGCCTCGACAATACGATCCCTGTCGTTGCTGTCGACAACGAAAATGAGTCCTTGCGTATTCTGGAAATAGTGCCTCCACAGGGGACGGATCTGCACACCAACCAGACAATAGTACACCGCGGTCAAACACCTCGGCGTCTCCAGATTTTTTACAGACTGATGGTTTAGCGATTCGCTCTTCAAGAAAGCAAAAGACATTGTACCCTGTGCGTAACAGCCCCTACTAACGCCCTGCGCCACTTCATGCATGAGCGACCGATAAACTCAAACGAGAGAGAGAAACAAAAGCGCTTAAAATAGATCATGCCACATCTGACAGCAATACATTTCAGAGACTATTTGATGCCAATTGCACCAAAGAATTAACGAATGGGTGGGGAATACTGCTTTCTTTGAATGCTAGCAAAAGAGGAAACAAATAATCCAACGGCGAAAGCCCATGCCTAATCTCACGGATGACGATGACGAGGTCTGAGAGCTTCAAACCACGAAGAGAAGAGACAGCTGTCTCTTTAACGCTGGGAGCGGAAAACCGTAGACAACATTTACCATACGGTCGCATACGCACACAATTTCCCAAACAGACGACGAAAACGAAAAGCCTCAAAACACAATTTCCCCAAACAAAGGAGGAAAACGAAAAGCCTTCAACGCAATAGCCAGTGTTGATCGCCGCACCTCAACGCATCACAAGCATCCGCAGCTCCGCGCCTCACAGCGGAGCGGAAATTCACTACCAAGTACGATAGATCCCAAGAAGTCCGTGCCTCGAATAGAAGAGCGGGGTAGAATCCCCAACACCGCGGTCACTCCATCGATATTACATAAAGATGGGAGCAACAGCCATGAAGTCAGACGGCATATCCAGCAATAAACCACACGAATCCAAACATGAAAAGTCGCATACTCGTTCTTAGACGCGGACTAAGGAAACCGAAAACGAGCAGATTCGATGATCGTCCGCACATTCACCCAGGGAGTCGATAATTGCAGACTACGGGCGGAAGACGACTTGAGCGGAGAATGAACTGACCCGACCAGCAGAAAAATATAGGCCAACGAAAGTCCGGATGATGGGTAGTATGAACGAAAATTGGAAGAACAAAAAGCGTAGACTGCATCGTTGCGAAAAAATCACAAAAACGTGTAGGACAAATACGTCACGAGGTCCTATGAGATGCGAGACGACATACGTCCTTAAAACTCCATTACGGATACTCGGAATTCGTAATGGTTGCCCCGACGAGGAGACAGACCCCTTACATCCTATACGAGCGTTGTCTCACACATTTCCCACAGGAAGCCAAAACGAAACACTTCCAATAGGAGACTGGGGAGTGGGGGACGGAAGCGGGGAAGAAAACGACACGCGGAGGAATTCAGGAAATGAGAGCAAAAGACGCAAGGCGGGAGAGGAACATTGGAACGGCGGACCACGGAAACACAAGAATCGAAGGAAAAAACATTGGACTCGGGTATTGATTGCGAGGACACGAGAAGTGTGAAAGGGGACCCAAGGAGGCGCAGTAGCATGGAGGACCAGGAGTGCGAGAGAAAGAGGCGAGAGAAAGAGGCGAGAGAGGCACGGCGAGAAGAAAGAGAACGGAATGAACGCCCGAAAGAGACCGCGCGGGCTCAGCAGGCACGGGGTGGGAGAGAGCGTTGGACAACGGGTGGAATGAGGGGAGGAGCGACATGAAAGGAGAATATAACAATGCACGGACCTCGGACCTTTCTACAGGCACGGGGACGACGGCAAGAAGGGACAAAGAGGAACAAAACAGGCAGGAGAGAGCACGCGATGCTAGGAGACGCAAAGGAGGGAGCACCGGAAGTGCGAGAGGAAGGGGACGAAAAAGGCGAGAGAGACAAGGCGAGGTTAGGACGAAGGATTAGACACGCGATAGGGAACCGTGCAGGTCCGGGAGGCGCGACGTGGGAGAGGGAGCGACGGACAACGGGTGGAATAAAAGGGACTGGGAGGATGACAATTGGACACAAAAGCAACAGCAAGGGGGCAAATGAGAAGAGAACATATGAAAAGGACTTGAGCCTTGCTAGCAGAGGCACGGGGACGAAGACAAAAGGTGACGAACACAAGCCAAACAACGGCAGTAGAGGATACACGAAACGACGGCATTAGAGGATACAATTGAGGCCGTGAATACGTCAGCTGGACGGGTTGGAGGGCATGCATACTGTCATAGGCAAGGATACGGAGGTAGCAAAGGACACGACGGGAGAAACTGCGACAACGTGAGCGGCGATGACGACGCGCGCGAACTCGACAGCAGGCAGGGTGGACGACAGCAGGCGGTGGACGGCCGCAGACGGAGAACAACAGCAAGCGGGGACAAATTACAGACGACCAAACCATAAAACAGCGAGATGATTACAGGGGGAGAGGACCCCAGCGAAAGAAAAGCCAGCGGTACAACGGGAGACGGCGGGATAATAAGGCGAAGGAATGACGTCAGAAGACGGGACGACATCTGACGGTGGGACGAGAGCTGGCGGCGGGACGACAACTGGCGCCGGGGCGACGACTGGCGCCGGGCCGATGCCTGGCGCCGAGTGACGACTGGCGGCGGGAGGACAACTGATGACGAGAGGACAACTGTTGGACGGAACTGACGGCGAGACCGCCAACTGGACGATACCTGTCTGGACGACGGCAGACGGCGGGACGACGACCGCCGGAAGAACGACGTCAGGCGAATGGAAGACGTCGACGATGGGCAAGGAAAGTGGACGTGTAGGGCGAGAGGGACGTCATACACATGGCCGGGGAGAGACGACGGCAGGTGGAGAACCGACAGCAGACGAAGGAACGTCCGCAGACGAGAATGGAGCAACAGTAGAAGCGACCAGACGACAGGGAATAACTGGCGCCAGAGAAGAGAACTGGCACTTACCGGTGGAAGGGGGGGGATAAGGAAGAAAGCCAGGGACAGTACACCGAAGATGGCAACGGGAAGGACAGACGAGAAGTGAACAGGCGAACCAACGAACAGACGATATGAAAAAGATAGGCCAGAGAGACGTAAGGCGGAAGGTTTATGACTTAGTTGGAGACAATAGTTAGAGGCGGCGGAGGGTACAACAAAGGGAGGGAAAACCAACACGCGAGGAGGCCGAAAGTGTTAGATTGGGGACATAACAGAAGCGAGGAGGCCGAAGTGTACACCGCGGGGGGATAGATATCACAAGCGAAAAGAACAAGGAATACAAAGCGAGATAGGGACTGCAAACGCGGGAAGCGAGCTTCACGAAATAACAGGTTAAAAATAATACCAAATGGATACAGCAAACAGGGACGCCGAACTGATAAGAGAAAATCATAAACATCGCAAAACATCCCACTACAGAAACGAAATCAGGGCAACCGAAAAGACAGGCAAAATGAAGGGGTGAAAAGACGAAGGGGCACTAATTAGTATCTCATACGGCGGCAAAGAGAATGAGCCGACCACATAATCGGCAGGTTCGCGGAGCAGCAACAGAGCTGACGGAGACTTCAAACAGCGCCGTAACACGAAATATTACAACGATACTCTAATGACATATCGTGAATGTCACCTGCGGAGACAAAAAGCGACAAAAGCCAACAATAAAACGCATAGGAAAGAGGGGAAGTGAGCCCGACACTGACATACCGGAAACAACGTGCGCAAGCACACCACCGACTCACAGTCGTCGAAGGGGAGCGCAGGGAGGAGAGGAAAACAGCGCAAAAGCCTAATGGATCCACAGAAAACGAGCTGTGGGATGCCCCAACAAGTACGCAACAGGATGATATGGAAAAGACAAGACATACAACAGAGACGCACGTTTGTTTGACCGAAGATAAGGTCAGGAAGGCAAGGTCGGGGATAAGGCAAGGTCTTCGAATAATAATCCGGCAGCTACGCAAGTTCGCTCAGGAGGGAACAGCGCAAACACACGCAAAATATAGGCACCGCAAGGGCGACCAGACGAGCGCAACCAATCACGCCCTCTTGAAGAAACACGCCAAGAAAAACAATCCGAGCTTCAGACAGAAGTACAACCACACCTACAAAGACGTCACACCTCGCAAATGATCAGGAGGGTAAGGATTTCGACGCGGACCCCATTGACCCGCGGAGTCCAGTGTACAAAATCGAGTCACAAATCGCCAAGGTATACACACAGCTCAGCAAAACGCACAGGTAACTATGAGAAATAACGGTACACTCAGCTCAACAAAACGTATACGCAATTATGATATGACGGATGAGTGCATTCCTTAAACTGGAACAGCCGCAATGGACCAGAAAGGCATTGAACCTCTCCCAATCATTCGCTGGAGCGAATACAATCGACACAAACTAGACAAACTGTCCCGCGCAGATTACGTAATAATCACAAGTACACATTCCAAGAGAAGCGCATGTGGAAATCAAACAGGGAGAACGGCGATGAAGACCACAGCGTCACAGAAACTAATCCCGCCATAGTGATGACAGCCCGTAGTAGGGTCTCCCAACAACGCGAACATCTGGAAACACAGAATGCCAGAGAATCCACCACACCAGTCGACAACACGTACAATAGACCCTTTACGATTTAACCTTTCCAGTGAGAGAAGGGCACGAGTGAATGTTACGAGACGGAGGCAGACGCTATAAAAACCTGCCTTATCTTGACCCCCGACGTCCCACACAGTGAAGCTGATGTTCTTGTACTCCACTGTTTCAACGTTGAAACCTGCACGTCCAACAACAACAACAACACACGCACACCATCGACGAAGCGCAACAGAGATTTCAATACAGTCGCCGCCATCAGCGAGCGCAAGAACAGTGAGCCTTTGAATTTTCCCGCACATACCCTGGCAGCCATGTTGCCTCCACCGTGCACGATCTGTCACCGAACAATACATGATACCTGGCGGGGGAGGCCATACCCGCCGAAAAATAACTTGAACTGTATATCATCTGATTTATATCTATGTTTGTCGATGTTACCAGAACAGCGAACCCTTCCCCGGACACTTTCGCGCCTTCAACGAACCCTCCCCCCAACACCACTTTCAAGCCTCCGATGCAAGATGAGACATACTCCAGATCTCCACGTCAATCCATTGACGGACTTCACGTAGAACATAGCCGCCCAAACACCATACCACATGGACCACGGAGAACAGAAAAGCGTTCGCTGTGAAGAGTGGAAAAAGCTCACACGTTTATCGTCGTCAGTGACAACAACACTCGACAAAGAGAGAGAAGACACGCTTGATGGAGAGAGAGAAGACGCGTGATGGAGCGACAGCAAATTTTGAGAGGAAAACCTGATGTACTGCACGCAGGGAAACGGGAACATCAAAGACGCAAAGAGATGAGCATCACCGAGGCAACCACTCACCTATCGTAGGAATGGTGGTGACAATTTCACCAAGTTTGAGCTTGTACAAAATCGTCGTCTTACCGGCCGCATCCAGACCAACCATCAAGATACGCATCTCCTTCTTCTGAAAGAGCTTGTGGAACAGTTTAGAAATAGTGAGCCCCATCGCGAATGTGTGCTTGAAGCTCACTTAGCGGCAGATGAAGGGGCCCGATACAAAGTCTTGAGGAAGGCCTACCTCAAGGAAGGAAGATGGTACAGCAAAGCTGCGTGCAGTTGCAACCCGTGTCCCCCCGAGACCCGAAGCGATGGAGATGTGTTGGGAGAAAGAGTAGCAGTGGGGCGGGGCAGACCGAGAGAAGTGGACGAGGTTTCGACGTTATAGAGCTGACGACGAAACCGTGCGGCGCCCTCCGTCTTCCGCCACTCGAAGAGAGGAGGAAAACGAAATGTAAAAGATGAAGGCTACAAGAGACAGCCTAGTTGCTCCCCGCGCCCTGACTTGCGTGCAGTGCATGACCCGCGGACAACTTCCCGGCCCCTGACAACCCGCTCTTCTCCTGCCCAAAAGCGTCAGTGTGGACGGAAGAGTCAGCCAGGCGCGCACTACAGAGGCGCCCTCCGCCACACCAGGCCAGGCGAGAAGCGACCATCCACCGCACGATTGAATTTTCTGTGCCCAAATTAGAAATGGGCATATCGGGAAACGCCGAGGCCACGCGTGGCGCACAGCTCCGTGGAAAAGCAGCGGTCAGCCCTCAAGCCAGCTAGAAAGCTCCCCGCACCCATATCACCGGAGCTGCCGAACGGGGGTAGGGTTGTTACTGTGCTGGATTTGTGAGCCCGCCACGCAAGTCCAGTGCATTTTCACACCTGCGATGGTCCGGGGGTTGCAGGCTGGGCCTTTCGATGACCAGGTTTCCCTCCAAGCTGGAGACCCCACGTCCCCACGTCTTCATTACGCCTTTCGGCTGCGGTCTGCGCGGCGGAAAATGGAGGCAAGCGCTGGTTCTCTGGCGGAAAAGATGTTGCTTGACACCTGGAGTCGCATTAACGACAGGGCGAACAACCTCCTTCCCCATCAGAGGACAAAAAACATTATGCGACTAACCAGCAACTGAAACCAGAAGCACAACAACAAAGCTAAGGAGCCCAGGCAGCTGGGGTGGGAGCCAGACGGATGGGTCTGGGCCCAGACGGATGGAGTAGGACTCCCATTAACTGGAACTCGTCCAGGACATCTTCTATTGAGAATGACACCTCCTCCCCCATAGCATCCAGTTCAGCTGGGCCCTCCCGGCAGGACCAGATCCTCCTCCTCCTTCAGTCCCCGTGAATCTTTATCGACTTACCGTGAGGGCACGGGTGCGCAGCCCGTAGTTCGTTTGTTGATGCGGTTGGGGAAGGGTGAGGTAGTGATTATGGTGTGCTTATGTTTTGCTATGTTCGCTGTATCGACGTACCGTGAGGGCATGGGTGTGCAGCCTGTAGTTCGTTTGTTTATGTGGTTCGGGAAGGGTAAGGTATTGATTATGCTGTATGTATGTTTTGTCATGTTTGCTATACACAACTCAAAGAGAGTGCGTGTGCGGTCCCGGTTAGTGCTTTATTCACGATATTCATGGGACGCTGGACCTAGTTTCCAATAGGTGGCGCTCCCCATCAATAGACAGGAGAATGTATGTGCATGTGTGTGTGTGTGTGTGTGTGTGTGTGTGTGTGTGTGTGTGTGTGAGAGAGAGAGAGAGAGAGTGTGTG